TGTGCTTTGTTCTATTAATTGTAATTCCTTTTGTGCCTCTGGAGTTAATTTTTAAGGGGAATTAAGATCAGAATCTCCCTGTGATATTTCATACAAATTCAGCAATTGAAAAGTTGCTATCACTATTTCAGGCCAAGAGATTTCCAAAAATTGGCCCATGTACAAAATTAAATTACAAAGCTCCATGCCTCTGCCTTATGAATGGCCTGATGGTCAACTGGGACATATTTGTCCTTATATAGCTCCCATACCTGTAAATTTATGGGGCAGAGATTTATTGGAAGAATGGAGAGTTGTAGTGACTGCTTTGCCCCCTGAAACCTCACTGGTTCAACAAATGATATCTAGAATGGGATATGAACCAGGAAAAGCATTAGGCATGCAACTTCAGGGTGGAACTCAGCCTATAGAACAGCAACAAAAAAATAATCACCTTGGAATTGGATACGACAAAAAAGTTTTAGTTGGGGCTATTGAAGAAGTTTCTCCACCCAAGACAGCCTTGCCTTTATAACAGAAATCAAATGACCCCATTTGGGTTGATCAATGGTCCCCTACATAGGAGAAACTAATCATTTTGGAGCAATTTATATTAGAACAATTTAACAAAGGGCATTTAGAACCATCAGTGAACCTTTGGAACACACCTGTCTTTGTTATGCCTAAAATGTCAGGAAAATGGCATTTGCCTCAGAATTTACCAGCAGTTAATGTGAGCCTCATTCTAATGGGGGCACTACAACCTGGTTTACCAAACCCAGTTGCAACTCCTCAGAAGTGGCCAGTTATAGATTTAAAAGATTGCTTCCTCAACATTCCTTTGTGGCTGACTGACCATGATTTGTCTTTGATTGGATGGGACATATATTTCTAAGTCTTTTAGCAATTTTGTCACAGTGTACTTTGGTACCAGATACATAGCTTGCTTTAACAGCAACCTAAGCAATTTGACAAAGTTACGCTGATCTGATGACAGAGATTGACCCATATTTTCAACTCAGCAAAGATAGAAAGTTGCCTCCAGCTGGACACACCACCAGTGTCCCTTGTCCAAGTCCAGAAATCATCCTGGGAGTTCCACTTGCTGTATCTTTTACTCCAAGTTTGTCTCACAGGAATGTTTGCCCGTGGATCCAATTCACATCCACGCTGAGTGCCAAATGTAGAGAATAGGGAAAGGGGACATTACTAGAACCTCTGTAGTAAGTCCTAGTCTCCTGTGAGCCACAACAGTACAAGGAAAATTAATTTATTAAATAGAAAAAATGAAATTTAGAAGAAGCTGGGCTTTAGGCCTCATCAATGCTGCTCTGGGCAGCAAAGACCAAAAAACCCCAAGCTTGCCACACCTTTATTCATATATCAGGAATAACAAATGTACCAGATGACCCAGGGCTGAGAGTTCAGTACATCAGAGAGTAACAAATGTAAAAGGTGACTCAGAGGACAGTGGTGCTGAAAATCCTAGAACAATGAGGAACTATGGAGATAAAGATTTTTGTTCCTCCCCAGGATATAATCTTGTCCTGGAGCATCATAGCACCACCAGACCACTGAGGTTTTAGCTGTGTCCAGAGGCCAAAATGGAGTTATGTCTGGACATGCCATGGCTGGCTTGTAGGCAGGAGAACTAGGCCTAATCATAATTTTAATTGTGAAATGATTTTTCCCCCAAATCATGTAGAATTTCTCCTGACAGCAGATCACATTAGATTGTAGGCTGGAAAATAGCTAAACTTTGACTTTCAAAAAAGTTAGAATAATTATGCAGGGCATGGTGGTGAACACATACTATCTTAGCTACTCAGGAGGCTGAGTCAGGAGGATTGTAAATTCAAGCCCAGCCTAGCAAGTCTCAAATAAAAATTTATAATAGAGCTCAAAAGGCTCTGGATGTGGCTCAGTGGTATATTACCTGCTTAGTTTAAGATAGGACCTCAGTTCAGTCCCCACTGCTGCCCCCCTCCCCAAATTAAACCAACACTTGCAAATAAAATTAAAACCAACACATTTAAAAAGTAAAATGGGTCTGGTCTGGTGGGTTTGCCTGTAATGTCAGGACTCTGGGAGCCTGAGGCAGGGGGATTCCAAGTTCATGCCCAGCCTGGGCAATTTAATGATTGTCTTGTTAACTTTCTTGTCCCTGGACACTCTATGTCTCATACACACTGCAAAGGAGGAGAGGTTTATTTTGGCTCATGATATCCAGAGGATTCGATACATGGTTGGCTGGCTCCAAGGCAGAAACGGTGTGGTGAAAGGAGCATGGTGGAGGAAAGGGGCTCAACCCATGGCTGCCAGGAAGAAGAGAGGGAAGAGAGGAGCCAGGGAAAAGAATATAGCTTTCCAGGTCACACCCCCAGTGACCATCTCCAACCTGGCCCCACTTCCTAACAGTGCACTCAGCTACTGAACTCACCTGATGAATCTACTGATGAATATAACACTCCACAATCCAATTGCCTTCCAAGCACACAGGACTTTGGGGGTACATTTTAGATTTAAACTATAGCAGTGACTTAGTGAGATCTTAACTGAAACTGAAGAGTAAAAAGAGCTCACTGCAAAGGCCCTGTTGTAATGCTTTATACCTAGATAACCCCCCCACACACACACACACACAACCTCATGCACTCAGAGGCAGGGCTTTTTCGAAGGTGACTGGACCACTGGGTGCTCTAGCTAAAGGTGATATTAGAAGGTAGGGCCTGGTTGGAAGAGGAGGGTCAATGGGGCAGCACCTGGAGGAGTGTATCTCCTTTTCCGTTTCCTCCCTTTGCTCTCTGCTTTCTGGCAAAGGTGATGTGAACAGCTTTCCTCTTCAGGCCCTCCTTCCACCTTGTGGTTTGCTTTGGAGCCAGCTGACTATAAGCTGTAAATATGAACCTCTTCTTCAAGTTGTGAGCTTCAGGTATTGTGTCCCAAAAAAGCAATAAGAGGGCTGGGGATTTAGCTCAGTGGTTCTGCCGCTTGCCTCACAAGCTCAAGGACCCGAGTTCGAGCCCCGGTACCAAAAAAAAAATAATAAGAAGAAAGGTGACTTAACACACTTGAGTTCATTCCCCAGTATGATCAAGTTAAAAAAAAAAATTGGGAACCTTGTCACTAAAAACTTAACTCAAAATGGATCAAAGGCTTAAATACAAAAGCTAAAATTATGCAACACTTAGAAGAAAATATAGAAATAAATCTTCATGACCTTAAATTTGGCAATAGATTCTTAGATATGACATCAAAATCACAGAAAACAAATAAAAACATTGGACTTCCTCAAAATTAAAAAACCTTTAGTGAATCAAAGGACATTATTGAGAAGATGAAATGACAACTACAGAAATATCTGCAAAGCTCATATTTTGTAGGGATCTAGTACCCAGTCAACAACAAAAGCCAAATAAAGCTGAGAATGTAGCTCAGAAATAGAACACAGGAGGCACTGGTTTTAATCCCCACCACAGAAAGGGGAGGGGGGAGGCAAATCAGTTTTTAAAATGGACAATTCTGGAAGTGTAGCTCTGGGGTGGAGCATTTTCTTAGCTTATGGGACACCTTGAGTTTGATCTCCAGTACCACAAAAAAGAAAAAAAAAATAGCAAAGGACTTAAATAGACATTTTTCCAAAGAAGATTTAGAAATAGCCAATATATACATGAACAGATGCTTAATATTATTAGTTATTAGAGAAATGCAAATCAAGACCACAATAAGATACTACTTCATACCTAAGATGGTTACAATAAAACAAAAACAACAGGAAAACAAATGTTGATAAAGATGTAGAAAAATAAGAACATTGTGTATTGATGGTGGGATTATAAAATGTTTCAGCCACTGTGGAAAACAGTTTGGTGGCTCCTCAAAGTTAAATATAGGTTTACCATATGATCCAGTAAACTTACTCCTAAGAATATACCACAAAGAACTGAAAACAGATACTGAAACAAATATGTGTGTATGCATAGCAGCACTATTCACAATGTCAAAAGGTGGGAAAAAAATCCCCATGTCCATCAGTGGATAAATAAAATATGATTCATACATACAGGGAATATTATTCAGCCAAAAAAATGAGAGTGAACCACTGATAGTTCAGTGCAATGCTCTAGGTAGTACTAATGTTACAATATGGATAAAACTTGAAAATAATATACCAGCTGGGTGTGGTGGTGCATGCCCGTTATCTCAGTATTCTGGGATGCAGAGGCAGGAAGACTACAAGTTCGAGGCCAGCCTGGGCAATTTAGCAACCTAACAAGATCTTCTCTCAAAACTAAAAAAACCAAAAAACAATATGCTAAACAACAACAACAAAAACTCAGACACAAAAACACATTTTATGGTCCAATTTGTATAAAATACTCATAATAAATTATTGCAATAAAGACAGCAAATTGATGATTGCCAGGGCTGGATGGGGAAGGGGGTTGATGGGAACAACTGGTTAAGAGGTGTGAAGTTTTCTTTTGGGTGTTGAAAATGTTTGTAACTAGGAATATGTAGCAGTTGTGCAAATGTAGTAAATGCCATTGAATAGTACACAGTACTTCATTTTATAATGCAAACATTTTACTCCAACTAAAACAAAAAAAGTAAAATTAGGAAGGGACATAATTGTTTTAAACATCTAAAAGATTATCATGCAAAGATGGCTTTTTTTTTCTGGGTAGTTCCAGAGAGCAGAATCAGGGGAAGTTACAGTATACAACTGGGATAGAATAAGAAAGAACGTTGTAGCAATAGAGCTGTTAAAAAAAACAGGGAAAGGGGCTACCTTGCAAGGAAGTAAGATTATTCTTTACTGAAAGTGATCGAAATGGATGTTGAGCATTCAGGGAAGTTACAGAAAGGATTTCTGCATGGGGTACAATTTCTATACGGGGTATGATGTGAGGTTCATTTGTTTTGGTTGTTGGTGTTTATTTTCAAGGTTAACTTCCCCTTACCTCTGCAATTAAACTGAGTCAGTCTATTAACAATTTACAAATGAGGTAATAAAGTACCGTATTCCTTCAGTTTCCTTTCTTCCACCGCGGAGCAACCCTCTCAATCTGATGAAGAAAGTGGCAGGAAGGGGAACTAGGCTCTTTGGTGGCAGACGCCAACCCTCTGGACTTACAGTCACTGCAGTTTCCTGCTTGTAGTGGGGCGAAAGTGTATTATTTATTCACTAATACTATACGCCAGACATTTTGCTAAGAAAACTTATACGTAAACGTTAAGTTCAAACCCTCAATTAATAGTGATTAAGGATAAGCAAACACGGTGATTTCCAAACCATAGAGATTCCCAAAACGCAAGTGACAAAATAGGCTCCTTGTGGGTCACATCAGGCAAAATTCAAAATGATTAATAAGAGGTGTAACAAAGAAGCAAGGGACTTGGATGATGAGAGCACTAATTCATTCCATTTCATGTTTCGGCAAGGAACTCGGAAATTTACCACCTGCTTCGGCTGCCTGGGAATCCTGGGACCGCTGCACGAAAAGCCAGCCGAGGCGGGCGGGCCTCCCCGGACCGACCCACTCCCGTTCAGAAGGATCTTGGGGATGCCGCGTCCTCGCAGGAATCCAGCTTCCCCGGGCGCTCGGGGGAAGCCCAGGCTGATCACCTCCGACTCAACCAGCCCCGAAACCCAAGGCGCCTCTTGAGGATTGCGCAAAGGCCTCTCCCTCCCCGCCTGCTCGGTGGCATGTTTCTAAAATTCCCATCTCCACAACATAAACAGGAAACGTGGAGCAAAAGCCCTGGCAGTGCAAATTCCTTGCTTCCAGCTGAGGGCGGGAGAATCTCATCTCTGGTGGCTGTAGTGGCAGTAAGCGGCGGAAAGAGCAAACTTTCCAAGTGACCTCTCCACGTCCCTTCTCCCTCTAACCACCCCCCCCCCCAAAAGAATAAAGACGCAAACAAGGACCCCCTGCTTTAGGTGGTAAAAAACAGACGGGAGTGAGCCGCGAAGGCACAGACTGGCTGCCACGTGAACCACCTTCCGTGACTTCGTGGAGGCGCGTGGCGGGAATACGCCCGCCCACCCGCGCGCGCGAACGACCAGCTCTGGGTGGGGGTGGGCTCTCCGCGAGGCTCGGGCCGCCGGGCCAGGCCGGGTGGGGGGGGGGGAGGAGCGGGAGCGAGGTGCGGCGCAGGCGCAGAGCGCGCGCCGCTTGTCAAACATGGCTGAAGTGCCGCCGCAGCCACTACGGCCGCTTCAGGGAAAATGCTGAGTCCTCCCGGACCGGCTGGGCGGCGGTGGCGAGGGCGGCGACGGGGACCCGCTTCCCGGGCGCGGCGGCGGCGGCGGCCATGGCCCGGCTGGCTGACTATTTCATTGTGGTAGGCTACGACCACGAGAAGCCAGGTAAGGGTGTGGGGCGGGCGCCGCCCCCGGCCTCCCCGCCCCCGGCCGCTGTCCAGTGGGCTCCGCGGGGCCGGGCATCGCGGCCGGGAGGCGGAGAGGCGCGGAGGGCCCGGCCCCGTGGTGGCGGGCGGCGGGCCTTCATGGCGTGGCCGAGCCTCGCGGTGGGTGTGAGGGATCCGCGCGAGGGGGCCGGTTGGGACGGGAGGCCGCGTCGGCCGGGCGCGGGGCGGTCCATCGGGCCAGCTCGAGTCTCGGTGCCGCGACCCTCGCTGGCGGCGTCCGGGGCTGGGGCCGCCCTCTCCAGCGGAATTGGGCCAGAACCGCAAGGCTAGGAGGGCTGGAGCCAACTGTGCTAAGTTCCTCGGGGTTAACTTCTGCTCTGCATCCCGAATGAGTAGCGAGTGACGCAGGGGGCTGTCCTCTCCAAAAGGAAGTGCCGAGAGTCCGGTGCTACCTCACCCTGTGCCCTGGGGGCCTGGCGACCGCTTGGTGTGGGAAAGAGTGAAGGATCCTCGCACACTTAAACATCTCTAGGAAATGAGTCCTGTTCTTTCAGGACAAATGTGACGGTCATTTTGAAATGACCGTCTTTTAAAAATAAATTAACCTTCTGATCTTTCACTTCTATGTGTGTTTTAATTGTTCCTTTCATTCGTCATAAAATGTTCTTCGCAAGGAGAAATTTGGAAAATGCATTACATTTTGTTTTTTAATTGATGGACTTCCACCCCAGAGAACTCAGGGCTCATGCATATTTGTTTTTGTGTTTGCATTTCCTTTGTATCACTACAAGCTAAACCTAATGTAGTTAACAGATTGAGCAGCGGGAGCACTTTTATTTCAGGGTAATTCTAATCTCACCCTTGCAAGGAATTTTAGATAGCAGCTCTACAGTGCCTTTACTTTTTAGAGGAGATTCTGAGCTTGTGGTTTGCTAATGTCTACAGCCATTGGTAGTGTTAGAATACCATTGTTCTGCCCACTCTTGGGCCACTGCCTCTCATGATTCCAGAGAATTTATCTCCTTCAGTGAGAATCTTTTATATTCTTTAATCTCTTACTCATGTGTGATTGAGTTTAGTTGTTTAGGGAAGGAATTGGAGTATATTTAAAGTGGCTTCTAGCTCCAAAATTTTATATTATTTTCTGGTAATTTTGCATAGTCTAGTGTCTCTTTCCTACCAAGATTAACAGCGTGATAAATCAGTTTTGTTTTTAACCTTGTTTCATTTTTAGTGACTTTGCTTTCCCCCCACTTTTAAACAGTCACAGACTTGAAAAAAGTTTCAAGTGTAGTAAAGAAATTTTTTTTTCCTCGGAACAATTTGATAGGAAGCTGCTGACCTGATAACCCTGTTATCCCAGTATGCTTTAGAGTGCAATTTCCAAACTAGGTTGTTCTGCATAATCACAGTATAATTCTCGAAATAGAAAATTCACTCATGTAGTACTCCATATAGCTCAAGTTTTATTCATGTGCTCTTAATCTTTTTTTTTGGCAAAAGGATGCAATTCAGAATTTTGTGTTGGATTCGTCATCTGTCTTCCTTTAATCGGAAACAGTTCCTTCACTTTGACTTTCATGATCTTGACACTTTCAATGATTACAGTTCTTTTGTAGAATGCTCTTCAATTTTGATTGCCTGTTTTCATACATTTAGGTTATACACTTGTGCTAAAGTATTAAAGTAGTGATGATCGCTGCATCCTGTCTGGTAGGGCAAAATTTCACTTGTTAATGATTTTCACTTTGATTACTTGATATACAGTCTGTGTCTACAAGTTTTCTCCACAGTAAAGTTAATTGTTCTTGTGAGGAATACTTAGGAACTATGTAAATATCTTGTTCTTCAACATCTTTTGGTTTCTTTTGAGACAGTCTTGGCAGGCCTTGAAGTCACTATGTAGCACAGGCTAGCCTTGAACTTGTGGCAGTCCTACTGTCTGAACTTCCTCCTGAGTGCTGGGATTATAGGCGCGTGCCTCCATGGCCAACTAAATTATAGTTTTTTATGCTTGGCTTTTTCCACTTAGAATCACACGAGATTTATCTGTTGTATTTATTGGCAGGTATTCCCCTCCCCAGTTTTTGTTTTTTTCTTTTTGGTGCTGGGGATCGAACCAAGGACTTTACCCATGCTCAGGATGTGCTCTACCACTGAACTATACCTAGCCACAATTGTTGCTTTTTATTTCTGAGTATAATACAGTTTATCTATATATTCATCAGTTGGTGAATATTTGAGTTTACAGTTTTTGGCTATTGTAAACAAAATTGTTCTGAACATTTACATTCAGATCTTTCAGTGTTCATATGTTCATGCATTTCCATTTCTTTTGGGTAAATACTTAGAAAAAGGATTGCTGGGTCATGATAAGTATATCTTTAAATTTATATGAAATTGCCAGACTGTTTTCCATACTGACTGCACCATTTTACACCCTCATTAGCAGCATGGGAATTCCAGTTAATCTTTGTTATTTATTATTTGAAAATTTATTTTCCTCAGTGATTAATAATTGTATACATTTATGTTGTATTTTTTTGTTTTTGAACAGAGATATGGGGCCCTTATAGTCCCAGCTACTAGGGAGACTAAGGTGGGAGAACTGTTTGAGTCCAGGAGGTTCAATACTGGTCTAGGCAACATAGCCAGACCTCTGTCCAATTTTAAAAGAACAAAACACAAAACTATTTCTAATTTAGTCATTAATGGAAACAGTTTTAAAATAAGTAATGATAAATGAAGAAGGTAGACCCACTTTCCTAAGGGAAAAGAAAACTTCTTGTGAGAGGTGATGTTTAAACCAAGTTTTATAGGGTCAGTTAAGCCTTTGCAGTGTGGAAAAGATGGTGTGTTGGATGAACTAATGTTCAATTTGAAATGCCCAGCTGAACTGAGTCAGTGTGGTTCTGGGTGAAGAAGATTCACCTGAAAATTGTTGCCAATGGCATAAAAGGAGAAGTGGGGGAAGCTATGTATGCTGTTGATTTTCCTGGAGAAGCTTGCCACGGCTGGTTTGTCTTATACAAACTTGGCTGTTCTTACTGTTGGAGGAGGAGCTCAGGTCCTCAGTATCACTGGGGATGGCTGCTATTTTCTTCAGGGGACCTCTGGTTTTTACCTTGAGTGTTGCTTCCTGGCTCCAGTGCGGATCCCTCAGCCTGGTGGCACAGATCCTCACCCCACCACTGGTACAGATTTTTCTAGCTTCCACCACTGGCCCTTGGGCCTTCCCAGTGCAGATGCTCCATATGTACTCACATGAGACATTGCTGTGGGCTGTAGGCCTCCAGCTAGACTTGTGGAAGATGTTGCCATTGCTTTAGGCCTTTGGCTGAACTTCAGGGGGACATTGGTGTGGGATCCAGGTCCTCAGCTGGATTCTTCGGGTCTCTAGTGCATGAATAGATCTCTCACTCCTCTGCATTTGACTTTTTGGGTTAATATTAAAAGATAACCCCATAAATTATGTTGTCCTGTATTAAATCTATTCCCTTGTAAACTCTGACTACAACAGATGGTAAAAGGAGATTGTAAAAAATGTGTATGTGAATGTCTCATTATGGGAATGGAGAGAAGTGTAGTGCAGGTGGAAATTGAGGTAGGCTTTGATGCTTAGTGGATTGGGATCAGATTGTAAAAAGTTGTATATTAAGCTATACAATTTAGTTTTGACTCTGTAGATAGTGAGGTCTTAAAAAATGAGTTCTTTTTTCTTTTTTTTCTGACTGGGTCTTGCTTTATAATGCAGCCTGGTTTTGAACTTAGTATGTAGCCTTATGCTACTTGGAAAAACAGTGTTTAAAAACCCAGGGGTATTTGGAGTGAAAATAGAAGGGAGGGTATGGTTGCTAGAGAAATTTGAAAGCTCAAATTAGCAAAATTTAGTAACGAATGGATGCAAAGAGATAAAGTAGAAGGAATATTTGAGAGTAATAAAGTTTATAGAGCCTGAATAACTGGGTTGGTAATGATGCTATAAATGTAATTAGAGAATTTAGGAGAAGAGATGAATTTAGATGAGGAAAGGAAACGTTGGCCTTAGTTTTGGACATGTTAAAGGTGTCTGTAATTAAGGTAGAAATATTATTTGGGTGTTTTAAATATATGGATTAGGTGGTAAAGACAGGTGAAAATTAGAGACTTAATTTGGCAGTTATCTGTACCTAGCTGATTTGTCAAATAAGAAAAGAATGAGACTGTTCAGGAAATGTGTAGAGTGAATAGAGGTGAGGCCTAAGTTGAACCCAGAGAAAAAGCAACATTCAAAAAGTAGGTAAAGCGGGCCAGAGACTTACCTCAGTGACACTGCCCCTGGCGAAAGGTCTTGAGTTTGATTCCTGGTACCAATCACCCACCCCTCAAAAAAGTAGATAAAGCATGGAGATACCTCAAAAAACTAGGATTAGAGGTCCCATTTGACCCTGCTATTTCCCTGCTGGGTATCTTCCCAAAAGAATTAAAAGCATCATACACAGTGATATATGCGCACCCACGTTTATAGCGGCACAATTTGTAATAGCTGAAGCTTGGAAACAACCCAAGTGCCCATCTGCTGGTGACTAGATAAAGAAGATGTGGTTTTTTTAAATAAAATGGAATACTCCTTAGCCATAAGGAATGCTAGAGATATTTACAGCTCAGTGGATGAACATTGAGGCCATACTCTTTTATTTTTATTTTTATATATATATATATATATATATATA